CAAAAACTTTAAGAGACACAGGAGTAGAAGGCACTTTTAAAGATCTTTTATAAAAATTCCATGCCTAGAACACCTCCTACAGATCATCTGCAGCCAGATTATCATTCCCTGGTTTTCTATTGCTAGAAAATTCTCAACGTGTCTTCTAGGGATAAAAGATATTTTAAAGGTCTTCGATGAGACCTCTGACAACTTTTCTAAGGTTGGAAGCCCTCCTGAAGGTCTTCCAAGAAACAATTTTCAGGTATTTTAGGAAAAATTGAATTGGTCAAAATATCTTTAACAATTCTTCTGTGACTAAACGACTCTTCAAAATTCTATTCAATCTCAAGTTAAAACCAACATTTTATTTTATAAGATATTTTTCTTTACATTTCTCTAAACCAATAATTCTTGATATTTTCCACGCCACAAGGTCTCTCATTGCTGGAAAACCTCTAATAATAAAAATATTTTTTTAAGGCTCTCGCCTGGACCGAAAAACCTTTCTAGGCCTTCTTTATCTGATAGAAAAGTTAACAAATTTTCTTTCTGATATCCCACTTTTTCAGATCATTTCTCGATGGAAGACATAACAGTTTAGCAATCCGTTAGTTATCTAACCCCTCCCTCACATCTCTTCCTTCCGTTAAATTAATTCCTTAGTCAAACAAACTAGATCTCTTGCAATTTTAACCACAGAGAGAGAGACATAGAAAAAAATTCCAAATATTTTTGCCATAAAAAGTTTGACAACAAAATCCAAACACAGTAAACCATTCTTGGACGCCACTTACACACACACACATACACACGCAAAAATTCCAATAATTTTTCTCAAACGGCTAATTAACAACTCTTGGCGAAAACAACTTTTCAAAACAAATAAAAAAATCGAAAACACAAAATTTTTGAACCCTTTTTTGTCCACTAATGCAGCTACTGATGCTGGCATAGAAGCTGCCCGGCTGACAAACTCAGTGGCAGTGGTGCTGCCTTAGTCTCAATTTTCAGAATGAGGCAATGCTTTGGTTCCGTCTCTCTAAAACAGACAACTTTAATTAAAAGCAATTTCCACATATTGCCAACCAAGCAACCCAAAAAAAAAAAGAGCAACGAAATCGAATCAAATCGCCCGGCATCTAAATCCGTACAAAATTGAAACTGGGTGGTGGTTGGAGCTAAGGAGAAAAAACTTCGTGCTGAAACAAATCAGCTTAAAATTGCCTATTAACAAGCGAACAACAAAAAATAGTAAATCTACTTAGAGACAAAATCACACAGACACACACAAATACATACATAAAATCATTATACGTTTACATGTGTTGGGTGATCCAACATAAAACATATTCTAACAGGTTGCGGAAATTCGTCTCACACACACAGACACTAATACACCTTTAAATTGCGGTTTGTTTTCAATTTCCACTTATTGGGAATATTAGAAGTTTTCTGCAATTTTTAATGCAACTTAATTTTTTTTAGAAATTAATTTTCTGTCTGCTTTGAAAATAGTTTGATCTGCAAGTGAAATACATTTAATAGAGAGAACTGGAGAAACCCAAACAACCGAAAAAAACTTTGTATAGCCATAAATTATATTTAATTAATATAAGGTGCTGTATATTGCCACTAACTATCAATAATTACAATACGAGGGAGGTGTAATAATTTTAAGAAAATTAAAAAGATTTTTAAGCCAAAGTATTCTCAGGCATGGAGAGAACATTTTTCCAAGGTATTGATAGCCAGGAGTAGATCTAAGGATAACGCTACAAAACCAATTACGAAAAATTGTATTGAACTTATGACAGCGCCATCTAGGTTCAAATAACAGAATACGTATTATCAATCATATCACACTAATTAACAATACTGTCTAAATTGTCGTAAATATGTTGGGCGCCAGTCGCAACTATCTCGTCACACTTATTTTCGGCCATAGAAGTGTTTTGGCACCAGTCGTAAGTAGTATTCGGAGTCAAAGTTTGGCAGGGAGTTACTTAAGGCGGAGGACTTTAAGGCATTTAAATACAAGACGAGACACTTAAATACAATTTTGTGGGAGAAAGTCAGATAAAAAATGCTAATGCTAATGGTCAGCATGTTTGTAATGCAGGTTAACTCAAATATATATGCCACAACATATCACGCCACATCAATATATATCAATAGAGGTCTTAACCATGACTGGTAGGGACAAACAAAAAAATGTTTTTTTTTTAATCAGTCAATGATTGGGCGCCACTTGTATGGAAATTTTCCCCTAAATAATCCAAGTCCCTTTTATACAAATACAGCAATCCTCAAAAATGAAGCATCGGGACCAGTTTGAAAAATTGGAGTGTTGTTGTTGGGCGCCAGTCGAGATTATCTCGAGACACTTCCATTCGGTCAAAAAAAAAAATGGTTGGGAACCAGTCTTAAGAAGTCTTAATTGGAACCCCAGTTTGGCAGGAAGTTGCCCAAGGCGGAGAAGGCATACGAAAATGGTTAGCCCTTACAAGTTACGCGCTTCATAAAATGCAGCTAAAGAATGTGCACTAAAATAATATTTACTGGAAGAAAGCCGGATATATAATTGAGGTCTTAACTAAAATTGGCCGGGGGAAAGAAAAAAATCTGGTTCTTTAACTGTCAATGGTTGGGCGCCACGTGTATAAAAATTTTCCCATAAATAATCCAAGTCCCTTAGATTCAAATTCGGAAAACCTCAATATAGCATAAATCATGCTTCCATCTGGCCCCGTTTAAAACATTCGAGTGTCAAATGAATGCTTGGGCGCCACTCATCTGGGGGAATTACAAAATAAAAACCCAAGTTGCTTAGAATAAAATATGAAATTCCGAGAAAAGCAAAATTCAGATAAAAATTCAGGTAAACCAAAATATCTATATCAAAACATCCCTCGACCCATATTAACATATAGCGGTACATATCCTAACAAAAACTGGTCGTAGCCAAAAAACGATATGCATACCTTAAATAATACGTGTTTGGGCGCCACTTGCATTGATAAGACAAAAACTGGAAATGTATTTTTCTATCACCCAATGCTTGGGCGCCACTCATATGGGCAGACTTCTCAAAAGATCAAATTCGGGTATTTATAAGCGCAAATATCTATATCAAAACATCAATCGACCCATATCAATATATAGTAGCTCGAATCTTAACAAAAACTGGTTGTAGCTATAAAACAAAACTTTTAAACTTTTAACAAGTCAATGGTTGGGCGCCACTTGTATTGATAAGACAAAAAGTGGCAATGTACATTTTTTTCTCGCCACTTCTATGAAGAATTCCGGATTAAAAACCCGATTCCCTTTGATTGAAATCCTTAAGGTAGCATTAAGCATTGTTGGAAGCTTTAGAGCGTCAAATAAATGCTTGGGCGCTAGTAGTATAAGAAAATACAGGAAAGACATTCAAATCGCTCAAAGGGAAACATGAAATTTCTCAAAAGATAAAATGCAGCTATATATAGTACACGTAAATGTAAATATCTATATCGCAAAATATCACGCCATCAAAGACTCGAACAAAAAATGGTAAAAAAAGTGATACCGAAAATCAGATAATAAATAATGGTTGGGCGCCACTAGTATTGGGAATTACTTAGCAAGAATCATAAAATCCTCAAGGTGACATAATATTTTACTTTTCGTTGGCTTCTCATATTCCGACACCCTGGTTTTGCCCTGATATATGCGCAGTACTAAAGGGTCATCGAATCCAAGAAGTCCTGAAACGTTTTTTCTATAGACGAACAGGTTTTAATCAAAACTAACGATGGCCCAAAAAAAAATGTTTAAATTAGTCAATGTTTGGGCGCCACTTGTGGGAAAAAGTCTGCAATAAAAACCCAAGTGCCTTGGATCGAAGTGGGAAAATCCTAGATGTCTCAAATGTGAAACATTGAGGGTCAAACAATATGCTTGGGCGCCAATCATATGGGGAATTCTTAAAAACCCATTCAAGTCGACTTGAAAATTCTCAGAATGACTTTCATATTCCAGACGTTCTTTCAATGTTTACTTATAAGGATTATTAAACGATCATGGGACCCAAGAAGCCCTCAAATTTTGTTTCTCAGGATAAACTCGGAAAAAATAGTTCAGTGGCAATTTAAGTGAGCTTCAAGGCAGAGCTAAATAATTCAGGTCTCTGTAGGCAAAGCTTAGCCCTAGGTACTAATTACTTTTATTTTTACATTTATTTTTTACATTTTTTAATCGATTCAAAGCTATATGAATACCTCGACCCTTGTTACTTCTAAGACCTAAACTGGCTCAATTAGTTAAACCGGTTAAGAAAAGCACAAGCACATTCATCTACACTCTATAATTAAACGATAAACCTTTCCATTCTTTTAGAGTCTTAGATTGAAATAGATAAATCTTCCTGGTAGCATCTTGCCATGTTTGAAGCGTTGGAGTGTCAAATAAATGATTGGGCGCCACTCCAATTGGAAACTATGGAATAAACATCCAAGTCGCTTAGATTGCAACTTGGAACTCCTCTAGATGGTCTCTTACATATTCCACATACTCATGTCGTCCTTGCAAATTATTGAACGATCATGAAACCCAAGAAGTCCTGAAATGGTTTTTGTGAAGACAAATTCGGAAAAAGGTTAAAGTTTTGTAGAACCTAACATAGGTTCTTATTTTCAAATCAATTATGAAAACATTGAACACAGAAAGAAGAATCTAGGGTTCCGCAAGTGAATCATAGCCCCAGGTACAAATAATGTTCGGTATGGGCTTTTAATCCCTTTTATCTTTTTAATTTTTAAATCGATGCTCGACCCTCGTTATTTGAAATACCTTAACTTATATTTTCTTTAACCAAGTTTCCATAGGTGTAATAGCTCAATTAGTTAAACAGCTTAAGAAAAACACAAACACACGCACACACATCTACACTCCATAATCAAACGATAAACGTTTCATTTTTTCGGAGTCTGCATTATATCTCTTCACCTCTCTCTCTTTGTACGTTTCGCTAAACTTACCTTCTTGTTTGCCTTGGTATCGACTGGGTCCAACAAACTGGTGCCTTATGCGTTTGTAGATTACGCGATGACTTATATGTCAAATCGCCACACTCCGATTGCCATACTTGTAGATTACCCTCGGCTGGATAAAATGTGTAGAGACTGTTCGTGGATGAGGCAATAACCGGTGATCCACCGGCTGCTGCTACCAATGCAGCAGCGGCATCACCAACATTTGTCGAATTGAGAACGGTTGTGGCAGGCGGTAAAGCTGATACGGCACTGGAGGCCAGCGTAGCACTGGATATGGGCTGGACGAGCAGTGCCTGACTTGTGGCTCCGGGTGGTAGTGTGGTGACCATTGGATTCTGGGCAGCCGTGCCGGGGAATTTATAGTGTTGCATACGACTGGGCGTAGAGGCGTGATTCGCCGTTGCCCCGGCCGGGGATTCATGTTTGAGTATGAGGGCAGACGAGGGATCATAGCCATGACGTTGACGTGAAATGGCATCCACTGAATGGGAGCGTATGGCGGCACCGGAACGATGCATTAGTAGGAGATTGTTGCGATTAGAGGAGTTGGAGGCGGAGGCAGAGTTGCCCGATGTTTTCAGTATTGAGGGCGACATGGCCCGAGTCTTGGCTCGACGAAAACCACTGCTATTGGAATTCGCTGTGTAGCGATGACTTTGTACCGCTGCCGAGGCCACCACAGGTTGGCGTTGCTTTTGGTACTGCAAACGTTGCACGCTTTGGGGTGAACCCATGGCCGTGTTGGAAGAGGCAGAGGACACAGGAGAGATGCCATTGCCCGGACATGATAGTGTTGTCTGTAGAGCTGGTCCATATCGGTTTTCTGTTGAACCCCTCCTTTGCTCTTTGAAATATTTTTCCAGTAGCTGCTGCTGTTGTTGAATGGATGACGAGCCCACCACCATGGGACGCCTGGTGAGTTGGGGAACACCCATGGCTCCGGCAATTACACGATTTTTGGATAAATCCATAGACTTGGCTGTGGCCAAAACATGACCTGTCGACGATGCTGAGGGAGCTGTGGCCGGAGAAGAGGTGACGGCCGTCGCCACTGACGACGACAACGAAGATGAGATGGACGATGATGATGTCGTCGTGGTAGCTGACAAATCAGCATTGGCTGACAGGCCGCCAGTGGCAGCTGATGACAATTGTGCCAATGTAGAACCACCGACATTTTGATGTAATTGATTGTGTTGTTGGCTATGGTATTGTTGTTGGTGTTTGTTATTTGCATTTGCTATTGTTGTTGTTGTTGGCTTGCCAATATTGCCATTGTTGTTGCTGCCATTGCTGTTGCTACTGTGGTGATGATGATGTTGACTGCTGCTGCTGGCTGGGCCATTGTTTGCCGTTCCACTTGTTGGATGCTCTGAATCCGTTGAAACCCTATCCGGATCACTTTCAAAACCTTCGTCGAGCGATCGTGTTGGGCTCAAGATGGGTTTCGAATGTTGCTGTTCCAGTTTCGTTGTTGTGCTGTGCATGGACGTCATGATTACATCTTTTTTATGTGACATATTTGCCAAAAGAAATCAACAACAACAGCAACAAGAACAACAATGTGTGATGAGGTGTTGGGTGGAGTGGTGCGGTGTGGTGTGGGGTGTCACTTAACACTTGACAACTCAACGAATGGGGGGCACTTTTTTATTCTTACAGAAGATCGAATTACTTGAGCAGTATTTTCAGATTCTTCTTTTTTTTGTTGTTGCTGTCACCGTTTGCGATTTACACTTGAGCGAATCTTTTTGTAAGCGAGTCGCTTGGTCACAACACCGAACAAAATAATACGTCTTAGCCTCTGGCTTATACAACTTTTGCAAATCCGTAAAACCGGCAGATATTCAATTTCGTTGAAGTGATTTTCTTTTGCAATTCTCTTTTTTTTTCTTCTTCACAGTTTGCGATTTTCAAAATTATATTTATTTTTATTTTAAAATTTTCAAATATTTTTTTTTCTTTGAAATTTTCTATTTTTCCCAAAACTTGTCACTTTTTTCAAATTCTCTTTTTTTAGGTTTGATTTTTCATTTTGTTGTTGTTGTTGTTGTCATAACTTTCATTTATTGCTCTATATTTTTTTTTCTTCTCCAAAATTCTCTTTAAAACTTAATTTCACTATTTTTTCAAAAATTTTATTTCTAACGTATCCGCTGTTAGAAAATTCAATCACTCATTATTTCGTCTTCTTTTCTTTTCGGCCGTTACGTTTTCTCTGTTTTGTGTTTTGCGTTTGGGGGAGCTTGTCGTCTTGTTCTCCGCTAACTGTGTCTTGTGCGCACGAAAGTCGTTTTCATACTAAACATGCATCGGAACGTACGGTTAGTACGTTCGGTGGTGTTTCAGTGGTTCGCTGGTGCTCTGTATATCTTTTTTTGCTCTTACTGTTGTTGCTGCTGCTGTTGTTGCTTCTTCATCATCATCGGTTTTTTAGCGTTTTTTTTTGTGTGTTTTGTGGGCTTGCGGTTCATCTAACAGCAGCCAACAACTGGCACTTGTTTCATGCAGCCAGTGTTGGCATGGGAAAATTCCAAATAGTACCTCCTGAACATGAAACAATTTTTTTCGTACCAACCTAAGTGGGATGAGATAGTTGTGATTTCTGTTAAATATTTATTGTCTTTATGGAGTTAGCCTATTCCAAATTTGAACTTAAACCAAGTTTGATCGAAATGCTATGATGTATGAAGTTTGAACCTAATTTTCCGTGCATTTAATGTACAGAGTGACTTCGTCAATATTGCAAATTAAAATAGTAGAAATACCCTACGTTACGTTGCCTTCTCATATTCCACACCCTGTTAGCGACCCTTGCTTATGCAGATTTTTGAACGATCATGCGATTCAAGAAGTCCTGAATCTTTTTGCGCCACTTGTGTGAAAAAAAACCGGAATTAAAACCCAAGTCTTTTAGATTAAAATAGGAAAATCCTAGAGCTACCATCAAATGTTAAACATGGAGGGTCAAATAAAAGCTTGGGCGCCACTCATATGGGAAATGGCGAAAACTTAATTGCATGTTTTGCATCATTCAATGTTTGGTCGCCACTTGTGTGTAAAAAGTTTGGAATAAAAACCAAAGTCTCTTAGATTGAAGAAGAGAAATCCTCCTGGTACCATCCGGTCATATTTGAAACATGTAAGGTCACATAAACGCTTGGGCGCCACTCATATGGGAAATTGCGAAAACTTAATTATAAATCAGTTAATGTTTAGGCGCCAATTGTGCGAAAAAACGTCCCCAAGGAAAATCCTAGAGCTACCATCCGATCAAATGTGAAACGTGGGGGGTCAAATAAAAGCTTGGGCGCCACTCATATGGGAAATTGCGAAAACGTAATTGTATGCTTTGAATCATTCAATGTTTGGGCGCCACTTGTGTGAAAAATTCTGGAAAAAAAACCCAAGTCTCTTAGACTAAAACAGGGTAATCCTAGGGTTACCATAATGTCAAATGTGAAACATGTAGAGTCAAATAAATGCTTGGGCGCCACCCATATGGGAAATTGCGAAAAAATAATTTTATGCTTTAAAAAAGTCAAAGTTTTTGGGGCCACTTGTGTGAAAAAGTCCGGAATAAAAACCCAAATCTCTTAGATTAATGTAGGGAAATCCTAGAGTTACCATCCTGTCAAATGTAAAACATGTAAGGTCAACTAAATGCTTGGGCGCCACTCATACAGGAAATTGCGAAAACATAACTGTATGCTGTAAAACAGTCAATGTTTGGGCGCCACTTGTTTGAAAAAGACCGGAACAGAAACCCAAGTCTCTTAGACTAAAATAGGGGAATCCTAGAGTTACCACCCTGTCAGATGTGAAACATGTAGGGTCAAATAAATGCTTGGGCGCCACTCATATGGGAAATTGAGAGAACGTAATTGTATGTTTTGAATCAGTCATTCTGTGGGCGCCACTTGTATAAAATAAAAGCCCACGTCTCTTATTGAAAAAGAGAAAAAGAGAAATAAATGCTTGGGCGCCACTCATACGGGAAATTGCGAAAACGTAATTGTATGCTTAAAAAACAGTCAATGCCACTTGTGAGAAAAAGTCTGAAATAAAAAATCTAGTCTCTTAGATTATAAAGGGAAGTCCTAGAGGAACCATTCGTTCAAATGTGAAACATTGGGGGTCTTATAAGAGCTTGGGCGCCACTCATATGGAAAATTGCGAAGACGTAATTGTATGCTTTGAATCAGTCAATGTTTGGGCGCCACTTGTGTGAAAAAAAGTCTGGAATAAAACCTCAAGTCTCTTAGATTAAAATAGGGAAATCCTAGAGGAACCACTCGGAGTGCCAAATAAATGCTTGTGCGCCACTCAAATGGGAAATTGTGAAAAAAACATTAACCAAGTCGCTTAGGATGAGATATGAATTTCCCCAGGATGACTTTTCTCATATTCCCCACCTTCTACCCGTTCTAACTTATGTGGTTTAATAAACGATCAAGGCACCCAAGAAGTCCAGAAACGTGGTTTCCGCGAACTCACTTCGACAAAATAATTCCGTGGCAATTTAAGTGAACTTCGAAGCGGGGCTAAACAATTTATTTTCCTGTAGCGAAATATTTTTCCAGTAGCTGCTGTTGTTGTTGAATAGATGATGTGCCCACCACCATGGAACGCCTAGTGAGTTGGGGAACACCCATGGCTCCAGCGATTACACGATTTTTGGATAAATCCATAGCCTTGGCTGTGGCCAAAACCTCCTTCTACCTGTTCTAACTCACGTGGATTTTAAAACGATGAAGGCACCCAAGAAGTCCAGATACGTGGTTTCTGCGAACTCACTTCGACAAAATAATTCAGTGGCAATTTAAGTGAACTTCGAAGCGGGGCTAAACAATTTATTTCCCTGTAGCGAAATCTTGTCCTATTTCCAATCAAAATGAGAGGAATATTTTGGTTGAAAATGCTAACCCTCGAAGCGGTCTTGTAGGTAATTTTTTTTCGAAATATGGTTAAAAGTAACTATAAACGGGATCGTAGCAAGTCAGAATATTCCACAAAATTATTTGTCCTTAAATTCTACGATATCCAATTTTTCTACCCACGTCTCCATATCTAAATTGTAGAAGCCATCTGTGACATCCATATCAAATTTCGGAATTTCAAATTTCCAAATTTAGTAACATTTAAAAGACATATCTAAAACAATCTACATATCTCCCGTTTAGACAACAAGAGCTATCTAAAATTATTACCCTTTAGTACTTTTCGAATAATTAAAGTACGCAGTACCAAGCCCACCTGCACATCTCAACCTCAGATATCAAAAGTAACCTTAATATCAAATTTCAGTACCCAGCTCTTTAATCTCCCCCATTATCAAATTTAGTACAATTATAGTACGCATATCCAAAATAAGCTCCTTCTCTCAACCGCAGACAGTAACAGTGACATCTATAACAAATTTGAGGATTCCAGCCCTATTCTTTCACCCAATAGCAAAAGTCGTACCATTTACTACTATTCGTATAATTAAACTACACATTTCTGAGACCACCTCCATATCTCAATTCAAGATATCAACAGTGACCTTACTATTAAATTTCCGAATTTCAGCTCTATTCGTTTAGTACTTTTCGAAAACTTAAACTACACCAAAAACACCTCCACATCATAACTCCACATACCAACGGGGAACTCAGTATCAAATTTCATGATTGTAAACCTATCTCTTCACCCATACCAAATATAGTACCATTTGGTACATTTTGTACAAATAAAGGACGGCAAGTCCAAACCATCGCCAAATCTCAAGCACAGATATAATCACAAATCTAAATATTACATTTGAGAATTTTATCTCTATCCCTTCACCCAATACCAAATATAGTACCATTTAGTACTTTTAGTACAATTATAGTACACGTTTCCAAAACAACGTCCATATATCCAGGCTACAAACGAACAACGATATCGAATATCTAATTTTAGATTTCAAATATTTTCTGTTCGCCCAATACCAAATTGTACCAAATATAGTACTATTTAGTACTTTTCGTACACTTGTAGTACACATTTCCAAAACCCCCTCTTTATCTCAAACCTACCACCTATTGGGGTCCCTAATACAATACATTTCAAAAATTCCAGCTTCATCCATTCACCTTAAACTAAAATTTTCCAAATTTAGTACCTTTTAGTAATTTCCGTACACATTTCCAAAACAACCTCTTTACCACAAACCAAGCACCAACAGAGACCCCATCACACAATTTTAAAATTTCAGCTCCATACGTTCACCCTAAACCAAACTGTTTTAAATTTAGTACCTTTTAGTACAGTTCGCACACTTAGTACACATTTACATAAACCACCTTAATTTCCTACCTTCATTTCAAGTTGCTATCTCTATCCATTCACATACAACAAATGGTACCATTATAGAAGTTTAGTATCGTTTTAGAACATTTTTCGTAATCTTAAAGTTCGAATTCTCCAAAACCCTATTCTGCACTCCATCAATGACTCTCATTCCAAATTTCAGAATTCTATCTCCTTCCTTTTGTGCGATAGAAAGTATAACATTATTAGTACATTTTGTACTTTTCGCACCATTTTAATACTAATTTCCCAGCCTAGTCCCACACCTACGTACCACGACTGACCCTCGTACAGCCGTTTAGTCCGGGTGTTTATTCTAATTCAGTCAGTTTTGTAAGGTCACTTATAGTACATATTTCAATAACAGACGTCTATATGTCAGCAGAGACCTACCCTAAAATTCAACTCTTCTCTCTCAATCAATCGTCTGTCCTTTTGATCTTGAGTTCGAAAATTTAAAATTTTTACCTCATCAACGAAAACAGAAAAAATCAAGGTTGTACCTTAATATATATCAGACATTAGCCACTCAGTTAACTCTCAACAATTTTTCATAACGCCAGGCAATTGTCTTGGAATTGAACGAAATTTATGTTACTGTCTTCAAAATTTTATATATAAATCTTTCTCAGTGTACCTCCAACATTCCACAAAGCTCTACAACAGTTGCATTCAAACTCCCGCTGTTAACAACATATCACTGTTAAAAAACATTCACTCTCTTGGCCAAAAACAAATCAACACATTTTCTATTCTCTTGAGAAACAAATATTGAACTCTCACTCTCTCTCTCTCCGGGCCATTGCATGTCGGCTGATTGGTGGGCTTTTTTTATCAATGAACAACAAACAACGCATGGAAAACATGTGGATCGTTCCGTTCATTCGTTTGGTTCGAAGAGCGAGTGAGTGGATGATGTTGGGAGATATTTGTTTTGGTTGTTTTAGTATTTCTTGTTATTGCTCTACTACCGCTCTCA